AACTTTATCGTTCACTTGAGTTGAGATTTCGACTTTATTTCAACTGAAACTTGATTTAAAATTTACTTGGAATTGTGTTAAAGAAAATTTTATTTAAACTTTGTTAAAATATATTTGTAGTATAAAGCGGGAAAGTTTCCGAACGTTCTATAAATGCTCTAAAAGCCTCTTAATAAAGTTGTGTTAATTTTATAGAACTTATTTTTTTATATACCGCAGGTATACAATTCTAAATCTTATAAATTCCTAGATTCGTTCTAAGTAGAAAAAGATCTTTACACAAGTGTATTTTCAATCTTCCTTCGTATCTAAAACAGTAAACGTTTTATCTCGGGCTCGACATAAAGCTTTAAAGCTTTGTTTACAACACTCACACGACTTAGATTGCGCGATGTTTTGTAATGTAAACTCTACTATGCAGCCTCACATCGTTGATCTAAGATTTATTTTGCCATCTTGTCATTGCATAATTATGAAAACTGTCGAGGCGATTTTATATAACTAAGCAAGAATTGATTACACTTGAACGTTATTGATTGAAATAAAAATGTTACTAATAAGATGCAAATGTCACATGTTATATAATTATCGCATTGCCTTTTAGCTATTGAATCTTTAATAATTTGCATTTGGAACTATATAAAATTCGATAAACTTAGTAAAAATGCGCAATAAACATGAAAAAATATTTTTTATTATGGCACATAAAAGGATGTGGACGATGAGGAGTGAATTAAATTAAAGGAGTTGATGGAGTGAGTTAAATTAGGTTGGGATTAGATAGTTACAGTGCTTTAGCTATATTAAGGAACAAACAAATTTCGCCATGTGAAATTGAGTTTAACACTGTACACACATACAACTCAGTAAATAAACACATCAGATTACACACACACACTATAATGGAGCATCAAAGTGCACTTGTTCTAACGACGATCATAAATTATAAAATTATTGTACAACCGTTATCGCTGATTAGCTGATTGTACATTTAATATAAATTCTCTTTTTTATAGTGGCTATAAAATACATATATAGTATCCACTCTTAAGAAAATACATATTAAGTCGATTAGGCTTCGAAAATATCGAAGTTGTGTCGAAAATATCGAAATATATTGCTGGTTCTTTTCCGTGATGCTGGTATTTTTGCTGTGTTTATTTTGCGAACTGCTGTTATCATTGAAATTGCGTATTTTGATAGTTCGATAGTTTTGAGAATTAATTGCGATGTGAATGATTTTATTCGTTTAATACGCGCAAGTTTAATATATTACTTTTGAAGACCGAAGACATTTACAATATACTTTTCTCGAGTTTATAATACATGTTAAATGCCTGTCATAGATACGCAAAGAGTGCGTATTTTAATAGCTTAAGTTGTTCGAGAGTTATTTGAAAGGCTTAGCAATGAGTAATTTTATTCGTTAGATATAAATTTCATATCAAATATATGTGTTTGTCTGTCTTTGAAGCAGAAAAAAATGGTATAATATGGTGAGACGTAAATATACATAATTAGTTATGAAAACATCTGATAACATATGTAATTTTAAACATAATCATATAAAATATGTTATCAGATCTTTTCATAATTAATTATGTACATTTACATCTGACCATATTATACCATTTATTTCTCGAGAAGAAAAAGATTATAACACATGCTTGTTTTAAATGATTATCTTTAATTATATAATTCCGTAGATTAGAAAAATGGCATGTTTTTATATCCATTAGTATATAATTTATCAGTGCATATTTTTATTCATCGACAGAAATATTCTTTTTTTAAATTTTGGGTTTTTTTAATTGAGATTTATTAAAATAATATATGACGTAAAGAAATAAATGGCGTACGTATAACGCGTTTTGTGTGTATGTGTATGTGCGCGCGTGACATTCTATAATATATACATATACAGGGTAGGCCATTTTAATGTATCCACTAAAATATCTTAAAATCTATAAGTTTAAGACAAAAATGTTTTATACAAAAGTTGTAGGGTTCAGAGGAGGCCACATGATGAAAATATGGACTTGACCTTGAGTGACCTTTTCAAGGCCAACCCAATGTGATCGATGTTTTCTTAAATGGAACTCCCCATTTTTTATTGCAAGTTCTTATAGCTTATCTCGCGTCAATATATGATATTTTATTTTTTATATCAAAATATGTCAGATTAAGATATAAAATAACTCAAAAAATACTTAATGAAAAAATACTTTATTATAGTGTTTTGAAAAGCTCTCGAGATAAGCTACAAGAATATGCAATAAAAAATGGGGAGTTCCATTTAAGAAAACATCGATCACATTGCCTTGGTCTTGAAAAGGTCACTCAAGGTCAAGTCCATATTTTAATTATGTGGCCCCCTCTGAACCCTACAACTTTTGTATAAAACATTTTTGTCTTAAACTTATAGATTTTAAGATATTTCAGAGGGTATATTAAAATGGCCTACCCTGTATAATTCATGTTATAGTAATGGTATATACCCACACAGCAATGCTCAAAGATAGGATATTAATATTTTTCTTTCCGGAATATTCTTTTACGGAATATTATGAACAAATAAAACAAGAAAGAGTTTGACTATATTTCTAATTTTATTTTATTAAACATTTCATATACATATTTTTTTGTATTAATTGAATATATAATGATTGTTTATTCTTAAAAAGAATTCAATGAATTAAATAATTAGCCAAAAATTAGGAAAATTTGTAAAGATTAAGAGAGAAAAATCCACATTATATTTATTAAATATAAATATATTCATGTAAGAAATAATACGAAAAGAAACGAAAATAAAAATCTTTTTTGTATGTCCGTACTAACATTCTATTTATTTTATTTTTTATTTACTTCTTGATAATGTTTATGATACAATTTATATTAATTTTATGATATAATTATATAGATATTAATTGAGAAAAGAGAAAGAGAGAGAGAATTGTTTTTCATTTTCAGTTAATTTAACATATAATTTATCATATTAATTGTGAATTATTATATATATATATATAGCTACTGAATTTGGTAAGTATCGGTGAAAGAGTTTATTTTTTATAAAATTTTTAAATTTTTGTGAAATGTCTGTACACGCTGTAACTTTTGGAAAATTTGAGATATCGGATTAAATTTTTTTTACATGAATTGAGTATTATTAAAGGATGGTTGGTACTGAATTTGGTGAGTATCGATGAAACGGTTCATTTTTTATAAAATTTGGAATTTTTTGAGAAAATTTGAGATATCGGGTTAGCTCCGTTCTTTTAAAGTGTTTATCTTTTAATGTTTCTCGTGTTATCTTTTTGTTATAATAAAGTTAATTAAGTGTTTCTTAAATGAGTTTTTATATTTCTGAAAATGTATAATCTATAACGTAAATGTATAATCTATAACGATTATATAAAAATAAAAAAGTTTGTAAATTAGAAAATAACATATTGCTTCTTTATCTTTTTATTTCGTTCACAAAGCTTCCTCTATGAGGAAGCAAAAATTGAAAAATCCGCATGTTTAAGAAGCTTAAGCTTTGTGAGATAAAATGATGAGGAAGCAATGTGCAAGTTTCTAATTTGCACAATTCAGCTTGTTTTTTTACTTTTGGTCTTAATAAATAAATTATGAAAATTTATGGATGTAGTTCCGAAAAGGGTCTACCTCTGATTTCGATAAAACTTTTTGAAAAGCTTTCTTTCAGGTTAAAATCGAGGCTTCTAAAGTGAATTTTGGCGACTCCTATAAGAAAGTCATTTTTTAAGAGAAAATAGTACCGAATCGGTAATTATTTACATTAGCCGATAGCTCGCCGATGACCTTGACCTTCACATATGTTGTAAGAGTGAGGTTGCTGATTAATATTCACTTTGTTTTATCTTCTCGTATAGTTTATGAGATACTTAACGGAAAAGATTTACCGAGTATACGATTTTACATAGGTTTGCAATTTTCTGTATGAAGCGAGGTCCATTCCATATCGTTCTGTGCTTTGGACGAAGGCGAAACGAGGTTTATAATTATACGATTTCACATGGGTTTATAACTTTCTGCACGAAGCGAGGTTTAGCTCATATTGCTTGATGCTTTGGATGCGAAACGAGGTGTATAATTATACGGTTTTACGTCGGTTTGCTACTTTCTGCGTCAAGCGAGATCCATCTCATATCGTCCTATGCTTCGGACGCCGCATTCCGTTGTGTTTATATTTTGGTCACGCATCAAAGCATGATTTGTTTACATTTTTTACTAACTGTTATTCGTGAAATGCCATATGTAGCAACATATACAATTATTATACTATTTACCATTTTCTTTTAAAAAATGACTTTCTTATTGGAGTCGCTAACATTCTCTTTAGAGGCTTTCATTTTCAACCGAAAAAAAGCTTTTCACGAAGTGTCATCGAAATCTGAAGTAGGCTCTTTTCGGAATTTTATCCAAATTTATTTATTATTTTATATTCAGTGGCAATATTACGTATAATTTAAGAGACTCTAATGTAAATTTTAAGAGAGGTAAAATATTCTCACTGAATATTTTAAGTAAATAAAAAATATCAATAACAATTTAATCCTGATTTCAATACGTAAAAACTTCGAATATTGTTTATAAAGAGATCGTTTTCAAGAGTTTTTGCCACGTTAAATGAGACGGGAATTTCATTTAATTTCAATATTAATTCATTCGATGTTGTCGACGTGAAGCGGATTATCCACAACTTGTGATTAAAAATTAGTTATAATATCACTGACCGTGCGGAAAACATTCTACTATTGCATATATGAATGTTTAAAAAGCCATTTCATTTGAATGAGATTTATCCTATCGGGAAAAAACGCGGTCGGGCAAAATTGGTGAATTAATGAGAAAGTATACTCGCCGCGAGATATATACAATACAAGTCGATCCCCGATTGATCCGCCGCACAGAGTACGTATTTTGCGCGCGAGCTGTGTGTGTTTTACTCTTATGAAACATACAATACTACCTACTCTATGCGACGTGGCGTCGAGATATCACCGATGCCACAATTGTCAACTCAGCAGATCACCTTTGTGATACTAAAAGTCGCACGAGTCGAGCCATAAACACTGAAGTCGTTTACGACCACATCAATCTTCCCTACGGAAGAAGAAAAAATGCTTTGTCGCCTTATTTTTTTTTTTTTTTTTTACCAGTGTACTAGTAATGTGAACGTGCCACAGTTCAACGAATTCTTCTCAATGTGTCTTCTCATATATATATATTATGTGAAAAATCTACGTTTGTTATATATTGACTCGATCATTTGTCATTCCCCAATAAAATCTCTTTTGATATTCCATTGAGACAAAATTTGCACGTGTGAAAGCTCTTCCTCGCGCATTTCAAGAATTCAGCTCACCGAGATGATATCGCTTTCAATCTCCGATTGATCTTTTTTTTTTTCAAGCTTTTGCGTGACAAACTTTCGAACGTTTCTTTACTTTCTCGAGACGACACATGCGATGGAGTATTTTCACGCGCGCGTACGATATCGCGTTCGGTTTTATTCGGGGAACGCGTAAATTCGTCACTTATAGGCCGTCAAAAGTAGTAAGACCCGACGTTGCGTCCGTCCTGTAGCACGGTTCACCGTCTACTGGCGCGTCGCGACGCCCGACCTGGCGACGCGACGCGCGTACGACGCACCTTCTCCGATGATGCGTGGCGATTGACAGAGCGCGAAATGTAAAAAAAAAAGAAAAATGCGAATTTACATCCGGTATCTTTTCGTCAATTTGTTACGTCGGAAATCGCCGAGGAACGGCCGGAGCGAACCGTCATCAATAGACAAATGATTCTCGTCAACCTGGAAGCTACGCCGGAACAATCACATTAGCGGGATGAGTGACGTCGTAGTGAGTGATTAATTGTATGCTATTGTCAATATATCTCTCCCCCTGAGACGTATCTCCATGGATTTTTTGTATTTTTTTTTCTTGGTCGTTTATTGGTTCTCGTGTACTCATTATATGTATATATGTAAAATACATCAAGTAAATCATGTTAAAATAAATTTTACCAAATTTGTGTCTATTCTTACGCTGTAACACTATGATGCAATACTATGCAATACTAATATGATTTTAAATTTGAGATATGCAAATTTTGTATTCCATTTGTTTTTAAACATTTCGGCTCTGTTAGCTCTGCCTGTTTAATCAATTTGATGCAGGAATATTAATTATTTTCACAAATATTTAAATCATATTTTATTTATAAATTATGGATCATATTTGTGTCCATGATAATAAATATTTTAGAATTACGCATGAAGAGGTAATACGATATCATTAATTAGCATTGTTAATATTATCAGGGTAAGTTTTTTTAATCTTAACAGGCAAATATCTCAAAACCTGTAAGTTTTAGAAAGCTGTATATTGCGGTTGTCAAAATTGATTAATATTTTTTTTCTTGTATCAATAAAATGTTGAACAATTTGAATAGAAATAGAAAATGTAACATAACATTATGTTAAGAAACAATTACGTGTCTGTGTTTGTGTGTAGTTCGAAAAAATAATTTTTTAAAAATATATTGATTATCAACAAATATTCTATAAAGATATACCGTCAAACCAAAAGGAACTTTAATTATTTTTATGTCAGTGACAGAAACTTTTCATCTAATTATATTTTGTTATCTAGGACGTATATGTGTATTTTATGACAAAAGTTTTGTGAGATATCGTTCTGGTGATAAGACAAATTTTAAGATTTTTTCTTCCCCAAGTTAATGTGCGTAAAGTTCGAGGTCATGCGTACCGAATCGCGTGCCGAACAATAATATCACGGTCGGCGAATATCACGTGCCAGTAAATCGGCTTTTCGGGGTTTCTCGAACTCTCGTCTCTATTGATAGCAAAGCGGATCAGAGAGACGTATTTATTGAACTGTAAATTGAGAACGTTAAATATCTCAATTTACTAAATTTAGAAAAAAAAATAAACGATAAAGAATAATATATGCTATAAAAAGATAAAAATTAATATATGCTGTTATATTATATATAACTAATGCACTCTTTTTGAAACATTTTTATCTTATTACAAATTACTATTTTTGTATTAAAAATTTGTTTAGTTGCTCTGTCAGCGATATTTAATTTTTAACAGGAAATATCTCAATTAACTAGTAAGTTAATCTAAAGATGTCAAACTGCGTATTTTTTTCTTAAAAACAGCTATATATTCACATCAGTTGATTTATCTTATTATTCTGCGTATAAAAGTAGTAAGATTATTGAAAAATAAATATTTCATATTTTATGCCCCAAAAAATGTTAAAATATAAAAATAAAATAAATAATCTACTTTTTAGGCATTATAATTTATAATTTTTTATGCTGAATATTCCGAAAAGTCAATTTTATATAAAAAATTTAGAGAAGTCTTATATTTTAAAAAAAGCAGTTGCACTTTTCGTGTATATTGTTGCACTCGATAAAAATATGAGATCATAGAGACAGTTATTGTTACGCTACATTCAACCGTTTCCTCTATTATTTCTTTTATCATCAATAAGAGAAATCTAATTACGTGACTCATTCTCCTTTTCTATAGTATATACATACTTTGTAATATTAAATAATATATTAGTGTATTGTATATTAAATAATATATTTACTATTTTTTTGCGTTTATATTTTTATGTTTAAATTTTTTTAAATTTATATAATGTTTGAATATGAAAAAAGAAAATATAAGAAAAAACATCTATCAAAGTATTTTTATTATAGAGATATTTTTAAATATTTCTATATGATTGTTTATGCTTACTACAACAAATATTAATTATTAAATCAAGATCACGAAACTAAAAGTCATAATGCTTGGATAAGTAGAAATGTAGCATTTTTCTTGTTTGATTTGTAAAAACTATTTCTATTTTTCTTTACATGCGACTTTATACGCTTCGCTATAACCGTATTATTTCAATGAGCTACTTCATGCTATACTAGCTAGCTAGCTATTTAATACGAAAAAAATGAGAAAAAAGAAACTACTACATCGGGCAATAAGCATGGTAAAAGATCATCGTGTAATCAAATGGCAGCGTCCAACGGTGTAGGACGGCAAAATCGTGTGTTTGTGCATTCAGCGTAAATAGGATGAAAGTAGGTGAGGTATAAAATAGACGACACGCTTGAAGCGACGCACGCTATACACAAATCGCATGTATCGATAAAGAATTCGATTCAAATACGATTAGTATGCATGACTCGCTTATTCCTCCTCATGATCTGTGAGCAACAAATAATAACAGGATTGAAATTATAAATATTTAAAACGTTTTATACAAAAACTCTATCAAAAAGATTTTAAAATATAAAAATTATTGATTTAAAGATTAACAAGAAAGATTTACAACTTAAAAAAATTTTTTTTTTGAGCCGGAAATTTCTGACGCTCCAAAGATTTGTCACATCATATATATATATATATACACATAATATATACGCATACACCATTCTCAGAATTATGGCATGAATGATAATAAACAGCATATCAATATTCGAAGCGTCGAACTGTTAATTGATCATTGAAATATAAGGCATAATATTAATTTCAAAGCAAAATCTAGTTTAAGCAATTAATTAAGTATGTAAAAATACTATTTATACAGTGATTCTAAATAGTGCGAAAAATTTTAGGAGATAATTCTTGTCGAAAATTAAGGGGGATCTTNNTACTCGTATATCCCTTCCTGAGGAGTTACAAAAACTCCTCCAAAAAGGGAGGTAAAAATTAGGTTTTTATTTTTTTTCAAATCTTGGACAAATTAAAAAAATGAAATTTGATTAATTTTGTTTTGCTGGTTTATTTTTGTTTGGCTTTTTTTATCCTAAAATTCAACTTCTCGTAACTCGAAAACTATGTCATTTAGCACCATGCTGTGCATGATAATATATTTATTTTTTTTCTTGGAAACTATTGATTTTATGAAAAAAAAAGAATGAAATAAAAGTTTTTAAAGGAATCAAGCTTTCTAACGCATATTTTTAGATGATCATATTCCGGCCCGTTAAAAAGTTCTAATAAAAGATTGAATAGGGGTTGCTAGTTTTATCCCCTTATAACGATATGGAAGGATTAAAAAAATATTTATAAATATCCTTTTTAATAGTAGGAAACGTCCACCAACTTTCATTTTTTAACTTGTCCAAAATTTGAGAAAAAAAATAAAAATCTAATTTTCATCTCCCTCTTTGGAAGAGTGTAACTCTTCAAGGAGGGATATAGGAGTATATGTTTATATGAAACACCCCCTTAATTTTCGATAAAAAATTATCTCCTAAAATTTTTTGTATTTATTTAGAATTACCCTGTATATAGAAAGTATAATTACATATTTTTGAATAAAGGATGGGTGGCGATAAGGGCCTCAATCGGCCCCAGTTGTTTTTGTTATAAATTGATAGTACACTGTAAACAATTTTCTAAAAATTTAGACACATTTTTGTATGAATTTTCGGATCTGAGTGTCTGAAAGAAATTTCAGACAATTTATCTTAAGGCTCCTGTCTCGCCGGTCACGTTGAAATCGTGACGTCAGAGGCGAGAAAGCACACGCTGAAAATTCTTGCGTGCCATTTTTAGATAAAAAGATATTTCGATGAAACACCACTTTAGATGGCTTTAGTACACTTCTAAAATATTTCGAAAACTATCCTTTTCCCTTTATAATCAATCAACAGTGATATGAGGCCTAGTCCGTCTAATCTTGCACATGCGCAGTTATTCCGCATGACAAAGTCTCATATCACGATCATTTTACGGTTGTTGATTAACTGTCAAAGGAAAAGCATAGTTTTCGGACAATTTTACAAGTGTGCTAAAGCGATATGTGATGTTTTTTTATCAAAATATCTTTTTATTTAAAAATGACACGCAAGAATTCTCAACGTGTCATTTCTCGCTTCTGACATCATGATTCCGATATGGCCGCGGCGAGTACCCAGGAGCCTTAATAATCAAAGTCGTTTTTCTGAAAGTTCAGAAGAGTATGTCTGCAAAAAAGCTGCAAACGCTTTGTCTGAAGTTTCAGTTTTTTATAGTATATTATTAGTAACATTAATAAATATATATAAGTTGTATTGAAATATTTACTTTATTTATAGCAACAAAAGCATGATTCAGGCATTTTCCTTCAAAACAAGACTGCACTAGTGCAATATTTTTAACATATCAATAAAACAAATAAATAATGACGTCTAAAGAAATATAATAAGATAGCTTATCTCTTCAAATAACACTCGCAACAAAACAAACTGTATCTTATGCTGTAAATATGGGATAGATTTCGTTCAAGTTTATTTTTTACTACCCGCGCATTGCAGTACTATTACCAATTTTATGCATGTTGTGTCTTATGTAGTCGTATATTATGTGTATAAAAATTTTTATGGTACACACGATATATACACGAACGCGTTCTATGAAAAAATTGCGATTGGATGCTAAAAAAATATAATTTTTTGTGATTTTTGACGATCAGACCTAAGTTCAGGGTGTATTTTTTAATAAATGGAATTAAAATAAAAAAAAAAAAATATTTTTGGGTCAATTTAGGGCCTTATCGTCACCCATCCTT